GCTAAAATCAAGAGTTGGATGCTCAACTGACTGAGCTACCCAGGCACCACTCACCTCCTGGAGATTTAAAAAAAAAAGAATTGGAAGCAGCATATATAATAGGTTTGAGGTATTTTCCTCAACCAAAAGTTGCATTTCACACATTGTCTCAGAAAAGGGTGCTAATTTATTATTTTTTAATTAAAAAAAATTTTTTTTTAATATTATTTTTGAGAGAGAGAGAGAATGCAAGCAGGGTAGGAGCATAGAGAGAGGGAGACATAGAATCCGAAGCAGGCTCTAGGCTCTGAGCTGTCAGCACAGAGCCCAATGCGAGGCTCGAATCCACCAATGGGGAGATCATGACCTGAGCCCAAGTCAGATGCTTAACTGACTGAGCCACCCAGGTGCCCCTAAAAGGGTGCTAATTTAAATGTAGTTTCACATCAATATGTTAACAACAATAAATGATAACCTTCTTAGTTTTTCTTAATGGAAACTCTTGCTTAACTTCAAATGAGAAGAAAATGTTTAAAGAGAAGTGAGAATAGGAATTAGATTACTAGAAACTCTATTTTTTCAAGGATTGCTCTAAATTTTTTGTGTTTTTATACTGTGTCTTCAAAACTTTTCTCAATTAAGAAATCTGTCATCCTTGGGGTGCGTGGGTGGCTCAGTTGTTTGAGCGACCCACTCTTGATTTCAGCTCAGGTCATGCTCTCAAGGGTTAAGTGAGATTGAGCCTCATGTGGGGCTCTGCGCTGACAGTGAGGAGCCTGCTGGGGAATTTCTCTCTCCCTGTCTCCCTGCCCCCTTCCCTGCTGTCTCTTTAAAAAATAAATCAATAAACCTAAAAAAAAAAAAATCTGTCACCTTCCTCCCCCAACCAATGAAAACAGATTAAAAGGCTTTAGATATTGGGGGCACAACAGTTATTTTCAGCTTTCAGTAAGAAATTGGGGAAGAAAACAGATTTAAAACTTTCTGATTTTTAAAAACATGTCTCTTTTTAAAAAGAATAAGTGTAGGGGCACCTGGGTGGCTCAGCCGGGTAAGCGTCCGACTTCAGCTCAGGTCATGATCTCACGGTCCGTGAGTTCGAGCCCCGCATCGGGCTCTGTGCTGACAGCCCAGAGCCTGGAGCCTGTTTCAGATTCTGTGTCTCCCTCTCTTTCTGACCCTTCCCCATTCATGCTCTGTCTCTCTCTGTCTCAAAAATAAATAAACGTTAAAAAAAAAATTAAAAAGAGTAAGTGTCTAAGGGAAAAGAAAGCAGCAGCTCTGGAAAACTACAATTTTATGTAAAAACAGTAGTCTTTGACAAAAGAGAATTTTAATAGTAAATTCAAAGGATAGCTTCTTTTCTTTTAAACATTATTTTTGGTCACATATTTTAAGTTCTATTTTTCCTAAAAAACAACCAGCCAGATTCAAAAACCTGATTAATTTGCTACAGTATGTCATAAGTACAGTTCTTAAAACACTGATCCCATGAAAAACTAATATGTAGAAATATACCTCAAAAAAGGAAGTCCTATAATCAAGAGTTTCAGAAAATGGTTTGATAATCACTGTGAACATTAGTATTATCGTAAGTATTATTAAAGGCTCTGAGAAGTAATTCTATAAATAAACTTGTTTAGCCTTTTAAACTCAGAATATTCCAAACTTATTTTGTGTACAAGTCAATTCTCTCAACTCCTCTAGCAAGTAGAAGATGCTATTTATGAAAACACGGTTCTGAAAAATACACATCAGGGCAATGTTAGTCTGTCTGATGGAGTGAGCTTATCTTATTATTTTATTTTATTTTGTATTACTTTTATTATTTTATTTTTTATTTTTGACTTAGTATTTTCCTAACAAGATTCACGGAGGAAACTTATAAGTCTACTTTCACAGAGCCATGTGACATAACTGCTGTCCTAAATAAATATCTTATTTTGATAGAATGATCTCTTAAATCAGTAGAATGATCTCTTAAACACTGAGGATAACTCTAAACTAGCTTATATTGCTTGCAAAACTTTTAATCAGTTCATAACTTTTTTCTAGTTTTTAAGATTTACAAATAGCATCAAAATTTTAAAATATATTCATAATATTAATATATAATTTTTTAAGATATAAATTATTTCCTTAGGGAAAACAAGCAAAGGATACACTCTCTCTTCTTGACTCCTTTCAAGATTCAGGAATCACTATGATATTAAAGCTTTATTCCTTTATACTACATATCAACAATGATCAGTTCTTTTAAGCAAAAAATGCATTAGAAACAAATACTCTAAAAATAAATCTTACCACTGGGCATTCCCATAATAAAGCATCCTCTATTTTTTCTGATTTGGAACATTTTGGCATTTCATAAAGTTTTCTTGGCTCTGATGCAACACTGGGAAAAAAGAAAAATGAATGATTATTCTTCTTATTCAATGAGACAGTGTTGGCTCAGCTTTGAGTGATCTATTCTATTTAGAGATTTGGAATACCAAGATACAACTTGCTACTTTGTCTTCCTTTTCTTAACTAAATGTTAACATTTTTTTCCTGATCACATAATTCAAAAGGAAATTCACTGGAAAAAAATCTGAAAAATACAGTAACATAGATTAGAATACTATAAAATTATAAAAATAACCATTATTAACATTTTGGTTCATTTTCTTCTGGTTTTTCTTTATATACATATACTTATCTGCAGATTATTTTCCAAAGTTGGATCATATTGATTTCTTTCTTTAACCCTGAATGATTACGGTGAATATCTCTGCTGAATTCCATGGCATTCATAAACTGTTATTCCAATATTGTAAAATGAAAATTAGATAAAAAGAGTCCTTTTATTTTAGAATGAAAATTAATAGGTTAAAAAAGGAAATACCTTTAAGGTGTTGTTTTTTTTTTTTTAATTCCCAAACTGCCTTTCAGAAAAATTGAACAAGTTTATACTTCTGCCAGTATTGAAACTACAATTTTTAGGTGAAAAATAGTCCCTTATTTTTAATTTATACTTCTCTGATTATTACTGAGATATGATCATAGATATTTTCCTTTTTTTTAACTGATGTACTTTAAAAATAAGCTACTATTTAAAAAAAATATTTTTACTGCTTGTATTTGAGAGAGAGAGACAGAGTGCGAGCAGGGGAGGGGCAGAGAGAGGGGGAGACACAGAATCTGAAGCAGGCTTCAAGCTCTGAGCTGTCAGCACAGAGCCTGATATGGGGCTTGAACCCAGGAATGCGAGATCATGACCTGAGCTGGAGTCTGATGCTCAGCCAACTGAGCCACCAGGCACCCTGAAATGTATATATTAACAAAGGGAGAAGCTTCTAGGTTGGTGAACACATGGACATTCAGGGAGAGTAGTGTGCTCAAAGAGCATGAATATTCCATGCCCTTTTGCATGTAACTTGCCTATGCAACTCTTCCATCTGGCTGTTCTTGAATTATATCTTTTATTATCAACTGGTAATCTACTAAGAAACCAATCACAAAAGACACATACTATGTGATTCAATTTATATGCAATGTCCAGAACAGATGAATCTATAGAGACAGAAAACAGACTAGCACTTGCTTAGGGCTGAGGATGATGTGGGTATTGGGGCAATCGCTAAAGGCAATAAACTTTCTTTTTGAGGTGATGAAAATGTTCTAAAGTCAACTGTAGTGTTGGCTGCCTATATGAACCACAAGGGTTCACCAAAATTCCTATCACTGAATGAACATTCAATGAACTAAATATCATCAAATTGTATACTTTAAATTGGCAAATTGTATAGTATGTGAATTATATCTTTTAAAAAATGTTTATTTATTTATTTTTGAGAGAGAGAGGCAAAGAGAGAGGGAGACAGAATCACAAGCAGTCTCCGCACTGTCAGTGTAGAGCCTGACATGGGGCTCGAATCTAGGAACTGAGAGATCTGACCTGAGCCAAAATCAAGAGTCAGGTGTTTAACCAACTGAGTCACCTAGGCACCAGTGTGTGAATTATATCTTAATCAAGCTGTTAAGAGAAAGAAAATGTCTAATATTTTTTATAGAAGCAAAGCATGGTGTTTAGAATATGCTTTAAAATACTTCGTAAAAAGATAAAGGAAAAGTGAGCAATGGCATAGATAAGCAAATGCAGCAAAATTTGGATCATCTTTGAATTTAGGTAATTAGTACATGGGCGTTCACTACACTATTTTCTCTGAAGCATGTTCGAAAATTTTCTCTTAAAGAAAGGCAAGTGCTTCCAAAACAAAACATAGAACTTCTTCCCAGGGCACGTAGGTGGCTCAGTCAGTTAAGCGTCCAGCTTCAGCTCAGGTTATGATCTCAAGGGTTGAGAGTTCGAGCCCTGCTTGGGGCTCTGTCGCGCCAGCTCAGAGCCTGGAGCCTGCTTCAGATTCAGTCTCAGTCTCTCTCTCTCTGCGCCTCCCCACTAGCATACTGTCCTTCTATCTCTCTCAAATATAAACATTAAAAAAATTTTTTTTATTTAAAGAAATTTTTCTCTAAAGCAGCATATAATTATTAGATACCTGACTTCCTTGACTCTGCCGTCTTCTAAGCAGAATAAAACACTACACCATACTCTGAGTAACCTATCATTTTGCCTGCACTATAAAGTAAATTCATTTTAAATTGGTACTTGCAAAGATGAAACCTCTAACTTTGGGTTTAAGAAGATTTTAAAATTATACCCATTTACCACCTACTCTTCTTTTGGGCTCATTTTTCCATTCTCCTATTTCATTAAACATTGATAAAGCATGTGGTTCTATAAAAATGAGTCAAGATCAACAGTGAGGTGAATTACAGGAAAAACGTTCACCAAGATACCTGCTGACACAGCACCGATAATTGTCAAAATATATTCTTCCTCTCTCATAGGCTATAGGTGACTTGGAATGAGTTGTCCAAACATTCTTAAATTTAGTACTTTCCTGAAAGACACAAGGAATTTTGGTTTAGGAAATAACTCATAAGTCTCTACCCTGCAGCAATATTAAGTGGGATAATTAAATCTACAGTTTTCAAAGTAATTCCACGTACGTTATTTAAAACATGCTCATTTCTCCCTCACTCTGTCCTCACGTTTTACGCGGTGTGACCAAATTTTAGGAAGACCGTTTGCAGGAAGACATAAGAAGCTTAAAACTAAAAGCATACGGTGGTTTACTAATTCCCCAGGTTCAGGGCCTGGATACCCCTGTCCATCACCTGTGATCTTCTTAAAAGGAAGCGCTAACGAGTAAAAACTGCACCCCAGCAGGAGGCTTAGCCGCCAGTCGCCCCTCTGCCCTTGGCCCCATTCCCAGCAGCCGGCGGTCACCTGGCACACCAGCACCCGCAGGATGCCCAGGTTCGTCCTCTGCACCACGCCTGCGTCCCGCGAGAAGAAGCCCAGCGCCCGGCGGCTCAGCTGGCGGCACACGTTGGGTTTCTGAGTCGGGCCCATGGAGGCAAGGGCCGGGGGCGGGGTTTGCTGGGCTGAAGAGGGGCGCGCCCCTCGCTTCCGCGCCAGGTAGCAGCCGTTACCTTCGAACCTCCAGGCCCCAGCTCATCCAGGGGCCCAGGAAAAGCTGACGCGGGGAGCCGGGCAGGGAGCGCACGGCAGTGGGGGGAGGGAAGGAGGGGTTGGCGCTGCCTGAGCGCAGAGTGAAGGGAAAGATACCCCTCCCGGCCTGCCACTCAAACACTCTGCAAGTCTGGACCGGGCTGCGGACAGTGCGACGCCCCGGCAAAGCGCGGCCTGCCGGAGCCGTACCCTCCTCACCCGGAGATGTAGTTCCCAGAGCCCTTTGAGGGAACCTGGCTCGTTCCCAGAACTACAATTCCCATCAGGCGGCGGGAGGAGAGCTCTGGTGCCGGCCCCGCCCCAACCAGCCGAGACCCCGCCCAGCCCCTCTTCCTCTGGCGGCGCCGAGGCTGCGCCGTGGGGCTCGCCCCCCTTTTCCGGGTCTGCGTACCCAGCGGGGCAGAACCCTAGGGGCGCTGTGTTGCCGCCTCCTGGTCTCGCTTAGCTGTGTAAACCTTGCCGCCCGGTTACCCTCGAGTCTCTCAGCTCCCGACTTTCGCTCTAGGAGGCCCTGGCCGAGCGCCGGGAGGGGCGCTGTGTTGAAAGCCACCCCCCCTCTTTCCAAAGCAGTGTCCTGTGCTAAAGGTACGGCCCGCGGCTTTCCCTTCAGTCGCACGTTGGACGTTGTGGATGAGGTTGACGGTTAAACATTTCGGGTCTAGAAGCACAATGCTGTTGTAGTAGGAGTTAGTGGTGGAAGGTGCTGGCATTCCCACTAAACTAGGATTGACTTACTCTCTCCTTTTGTGGCCTGCGGGGACACAAGGCTGGTTTTGCGATAATTGCTGCATTTTCCTTCCTCTCGCCTCTTTTTTCTCTTCTTTTGCTAATAAAATATGAAATGTTTACATTCTTAATGGACTGTAAGATACTCCACGTTGATTCCTCTAAGTAAAAGGTAACTTGGTCGCCTACCCCTGCCTATAGGGTCAAAGCTCCCCCTACACTACATTTTCCGTAATCACGCACTACATGTGCCCCCGGGGATTGCTTTGCAAGTCCGTTAAGGGTCGTGTCTTTGCGTCTCCCACGTGGGCTTGACATGCCACCTCTCTTTCACACGTGGGCAAGGGAGTGATTGCATTTGACTGGCAGCAAAGAGTGCAGTACTGGGTGAGTGCATTGGGTCACAATTTAAGTGTTTGGTAAAAATTGTGTCCCGGATACCCAGGGTTCTCTATTGTTAACTTAAAATATTTCCTTCAGGGCTTGAGCTTTTGCTGATTTTTCATGACTTATTTACAGCATACTGTGGAGCGCTTTGTATATTTTTAGAGCGCACTATAATAGTTAATTTGGTAATTCATGAATGCAGCTGTCACTGAGAAAACTGGGACCCAGAAAGGAGAACTGGATTTTCTTTGGATGAAATGAAATTCAAATCATTGCTGACTTAAATTCATCATCTCTCTCTTTTCTCATCCCCCTTCACCCTCACTTGTTTGTCTTCCTGTTGTCTTTATCTCACCACCAAGTCACCCAGAGGGCAGTCATCCTGGATACCCTCCCTTTCTCACCCACAACCAAGTCCTTTTGATTCTCTTTTCCATCTGCTTTTTATATCCCCTGCGTAATTTAGGGCCCCACCACTTCATCACATTATTATATTAAGTACCCTCCTTTCTGCCTTACTTAAGTACTTTCAATTCGAATTCTCCATCCTGCTGCCAGAGTGATTTTTCTAAAGCACAAATTTGTCATTTCCTTATTAAAATCTTTCAGTGGCTCCCAATCACTCAGAGCAGAATTTCTCAAGCCTGAGTGGATACCCAGGATTCTCCATTGTTAACTTAAAATATTTTTAGTATGTTAAATATATGCAAATATAAAACTATATATACACTCCTTATGTTCTATATCTTATACAACTAGAACTCCCAGTTATAAGTTAAATGAAGCACAATTATGAAACAAATAAATTCAAATGAATACTTATTCATTGTTACCAATGAGACAGTTTTTGTTGGACCTGATATGCTCCAAAAGCAAATATTCACTGTCCTCCATAGCATAACTTCTTTACAAAAGCCCTGTCCGTATTGTACTTTTGTTGAGATTACTCAGTGCCTTCACCTCTTTTCTTTTTTTAAACCACAGCAAAGCCTGCCTTTGTTCAATGTGTCATGATTTCATTTGATCTTCACTTGTCAAACAACACGATTTACACAAAGTAGTCCCCATTTCTTTCTCATTAACCTATGCCAGTGACAAATGGTACCACTTGTTTGCCAGTGCAATGCTAAACACAAACATGTAAACTGAAATCTTATGACAGTATTCAATTATAAGGGGGTCATTCAGATAATCCGGAGTATCCTTTTTAAAAAAATGTTTTTGTTGTTGATTTTTATCAAGTTGTACAAATCCCTAGGGGTCTGAATAGGTGCCGTACAGGACAAAATCTGAATTCCCTTAATGTGGTGTACAGGGCACTTCTATCTGCATCTTGCCCACACTTTCAGCCTTATTTCCTTGTCCATCGTTACTTAACATTTGCTCTTGTGGCTCTGACATGTTGCTCACTTACTCAAGCCAATGGGCCTTTCTTTTTAAAAAAATTTTTTTTTTCAACGTTTATTTATTTTTGGGACAGAGAGAGACAGAGCATGAACGGGGGAGGAGCAGAGAGAGAGGGAGACACAGAATCGGAAACAGGCTCCAGGCTCTGAGCCATCAGCCCAGAGCCTGATGCGGGGCTCGAACTCCCGGACCGCGAGATCGTGACCTGGCTGAAGTCGGACGCTTAACCGACTGCGCCACCCAGGCGCCCCGCCAATGGGCCTTTCAACTTTTCTTTGGAACTCCCTCCCTTCTCTTGTCTGTTTTATCTTGTAACTCATCCCAGGTATCACACCTCCACTCACACTTTTCCTGACCCCTTCACTTCAGGTGTAGACTTGCTTCTTCTAACATGTTTGTCTGCATACATTGGTTGTAGCACTGTATTAGAATTATTGTTTGTTGGTCTTCCCAACACATTGTTTTTATGCTTTTTTTTTAATAGGCTCTACACCCAGTGTGGGCTTGAACTCAGGACCCCAAGATCAAGAGTTGCATGCTGTACTGAGTGCCCCCCAACATACTGTTTTTAGAGTAGTCCATTCGTTCATTCGACATACATATGCATTAACCACATTTTAGGCAGTATACAAAGGATGCATATGTATGTTGAATAAATTGACTCTTCTAAGGACATTGTATAGAATCCATTATTGGCAACTAAGTACTTTCAACATACATGCAGATTTAGTCTCCCTTTCTTCTTTAAATCAGTAGGAAACCACAGTGTTCATAAGAAGAAATAACTTTTTAAAAACTTGAATCCCCAACAGTTCTACCTATAAGCAGATATTTTTTCCATTTGTTGAGGGTAAAATGGCATGCACAGATATCCCTAGTTTAGGACTTGAAAATGACTTCTCAATTTAAGACCTAGAACAAACATTGTTTTTTTGTTTCTTGTTTTTCTTTTTCAATCTGTGTCATGTGTTTTAATAGAATACTTAGCTATCTTTACCACAATGTTTTTTAATATATATTTTGTTAAATTTATTTTGTTAGTAATCTCTACACCCAATGTGGGGTCAAACTCATGATCCTAAGATCAAGAGTCACATACTCTACCAACTGAGCCAGCCAGGCACCCCTATCATGATATTTAAAGACAAAGAGATATGAATTCAGAAGTTAATAAAATGCTTTTTGTTCATGTTCTTTGTTTAAAGAAGCATGGTAAAGCACTCAGGTTATTAAACTTGAACATTTGTTCAGAGATAAGTTGTTCAGAGACAAAACCACAAGAGGTCATTCATTCAGCATGTAATTATGTTCATGTACTTTGTGCTGGGAACTATTTTGGCATAGGGTATAGCAGTGACTGGGATAGACAAAGCCTCTACGTGTGGAGGGAGTTAGACGATAAATACATAGATTACAAAAATAAAATTTCAGGTAGTGATAAGGGCCGTGAAGAAGACAAAACAGGGTGATGTGCTTGGTAGAGTATGGTTGGAAGCCCTGCTTTATTTTAGCTAGAGTGGTCAGGGAAGGCCTCTTGCAGATTGGACTTCTGAGCTGAGACCTGAATGATGAGGATGGGTGAGTCTGCAAAGAATTGAGGTTAGAGTAGTCCAGGCAGAAAACGCTTGAATGCAAGGTTCCCAAAGCAATAACAACCTTGGCTTATTCTAAAACTGTCAGGCCAGTGTGACTCTATAGTGCATGTGAGGGAGATGAACTTGGAGAGGTAAGCCAGAACCAAGTTATATCAGGCATAAGGAATTTTGGATTTTATTCAAAGCCAAAGGAGGCTTTGAAGGAGGGTGACATGATCTAATTTGTGATATAATAAGATGTTTATGGCTATAGTGTGGAAAATGTACTGTGAGGAGATAAGAATGGAAGTGAACAGGCTGTTCACTTGGTCCAGGTAAGCGATGATAGTGTTTGGACTGGAGTGGTAGCAGGAGAAATGGAAAAAAGTGAACAGATTCAGGATATATCTTGGAAGTAGAGTTGATAAGACTCCTAATGTAGTGGATATTAACAATGAAGAAAATAAAAGATTCAAGTGAAATCATAATAAAGCAGAACCACAATAACCCTCTCCAAACTGCCCAGAACAAATGGAAAACAGGGAACTACTTATGATGTGGTGTCTATGAAACAATACCTAGATTTTATTAAATGTACATATCAGCTTTTTACACACTGATGCTAAAGAATGTTAGGTTCTGTTCTGTGGTTAGGAATGTGGGAAGAAGGAAGTAAAATCAGGTCCCAGAAGGGGCAGGGGTCAGAGCATGTGGGACCACGATAGTGTGATGGAAAAATCACTAGTGATAGGCTAACATTCCCTTTAACAACAAGAGTGAAATAGG